CTATCGACGCGTGATATGTGCAGGACTACATGTCAATCACACCAGTCGGCTCGTAGGAGAGGCAGCTGCCCGTCATAACAATTCGTTGGCTCCGCCCACTTGTCGAAGGTAACAACTGACTCTGATTGGCCATAAAGTTTTCACTCGCGCTGAATTGGAATGTGGAACTCTTGCGTGACCTTGGGCTTTTTCTGGTCATGAGCAGGAAATCGACCCAAATTTTGTACTGTCGTCTCCTTCTCTCTGTTTGTTTTCGTTTTGTACAACAACGTTTCTGGATCCAAGGTAAACAACAACAGAGTCTGACCTATTTTTTTTGTTGCAATGGGATACCGTTGCAATTTACGATTTTTGTAAAGTTGTTATAAGTGGTCATATTACAATAATACCTTTTCTTGGTACCGTTTTCTTCATGAACTCCACAGCAATCTATTATATTGTTTTTATGAGCGAACACCGTTGTCTACTGACTGTCAACACTGTTTATTGAAGAGATCTCTGGAATCTAGATTATAAAATCTGGCGACTGAGTGTCATCAAGCAGGCACGTCCGTACGTTATGCGGATCTTTGACTACCAGCCAGAATCTTGTACTTAGGCTAAGTGTTTTAGTTTTAGTGTATTTTCATGTTTTATCATCTTTCCTCTTCTCCAGATAGATTCTAGAATCAAGCCTATCCATGATCGAACCGTGCGCATGGGAAGGCAGATCTAGAGACCGAGTTATGGCGTAGCAAGCAGTAAAAAGTGCATTGTAGCCTAGGCAGGCGATTCATTAATTAATTGGATCCAACCCTGAATATTGACTGTTGGCACTGTTGTTGTTGTCATGCAAGATTAGGCCTGTGCAAGATATCCAGATTGATTATAAGTAAGATTTCTATATTAGATCCTATATATCGATGTTGCCTTGTGTTTATGTTGATCCAGTTAGGTAGATCTATTATCTTGGTGTCCTTTTGTTTTTGTGTTGATCCCCCACTTTTTGAGTGGTTATTGATAGGAAATGGGGATCGTTGTTTTATTACAACCAAAGATGTGTGTAGATCTAGATCTAGATATCTAGAATATAAAGGCTTTAAACTTAAAAACATTTGAGAACAAGTACGTACCAGTACAACCACAACCACGTAATTATTAATGAAAACCAGAAGGTCTGAATGGTACAGCTGTTTGGCTGATTGTAGAGTTCTTGTTGTGTAGCCTTGGCTAAGCCTGCATTTTCATTTTTTTTCTTGGATGAAGGCAAATGGTTTTTGGGTTGTGTTTTGCCTTGTGTGTATTGGCTGTCAGGCTGTTTTGTTTCATAAATTCTATGGTCTGCTTGCTTGCCAAAACTTGCTCAGACCCCCCCCCCCCCCCCCCCCCCCCCCCGGGGGGGGCGCAGGAGAGGAGGGGTTTGGCAAATACCGAAAGGAAATGTTACTAAGAAAGAAAAAAGCAGAGAAGAATTGTAAATGGGCTGTGTCACGCTCATAACTGTACCTGATCTACAACAGGGAAATGCTGCTTTTTCTTTCCTAATCCTTACTATTGTCATTTTCCTCTACTTCTTTTATGTTTTTCACACTCTTGTGACCTGCTATTTCCGGGGTACCTTGATAGTTGAAGCAGATCCTGTGCTGTTGAAGCTAGAGAGGTGAGCAGAGTAAGTCTGATTCCCTGTAAAGACTTCTTTGTTGACACCCACCCCTTGGCGCTCATATGACCTTATGCAGTTGCGAGGGCTGTAAAACCCTCTATTATAAAAACCCCAAAAAAAACTTACACGCACACACACACACACACACACACACACACACACACACACACACACACACACGCGCGCGAGCAATCACTGTCTCTCTCTGTCTCTCCTCTCTTTCTCTCTCTCACATACTGTCGTCTGCGGAGAAGCGGTTAGGCTCTTAGCTTAAGCACTCAGGAGACCCAATTTCAATTTCAGCCAGTATCTTGTTCTTTCTGCTGAGATATAGTATATCTCTTTCAGCCCCAGTTGGCCCTGACAGGTAGAGAGGGCTGAAGTCTACCTCATAAATTATGATCTAAATTGTCTTGACAGGGGCGTAAAAACACAGGACTTACATTAAAAAAGCAACACACTTGTGCACACACTCACGCACACACACACACACACAACTTACTTTGAACACATTGATTCCTTACTGAACAGTTTATTCAATTCGATTCATTTTTCTCATTTTTCAGGCACAAACATCTGGAAAGTTGTCATCTGAGTGAATGAACGAATATCTCTGATTTTTCTGGTATCCTATACATCTCAAAGTCTTAAGGATGGACGATTTCCAGAATGAGGAAGATAATTTTTCAATGAAGCATGTGAGGAAAATACTGAAAAACAGATTTGTGGTAATAATAGGAGACTCCAGTAAGTACCTTTTACTTTTGCTGAAAAAAAATGTGCAGCCCGTTTAAACATAATAAGCTGGGGGGTGGACACTGATTTTAGGCCATTCAGAAATCAGAACTTTTGGTCTGTTGCAAAAAATTTACATAAATTGATTAAAGAAATTTGTTGTCGGTTGTTGAGGCCCCCGACTGCATTTGAGCCTTTCTTCATTTTTTCCACTCTTCCATACATGAATAGTCACAATGCTATATCAAACACTGTCAAAAATCAAACTCATGACCTTTAAGTCTTGTATTAAATTAAAAAGTCCACTGATCCATTAATAAGGTTACCACATTTTAAAAATAATTTTTCTTTTTTCTTTAACAGAAATGTTTAAGCTTTAACTGTTCATACAGTTCTTTAGTTACTCCTATTTCACTTAATTATCACTTTCAATTGTGAATGGTGGTGTTGGTGATAATGAGAGATAGTGGAGTAAATGTTAACTTTTTAGCTTTGCAGTTTCCAATGTTTTACATGTTTTTCTTCATTTTCAGTCCAAAGAGGCATCTACAAAGATATGGTTCTCTTACTTCAGCAAGATCGATCACTGTTAAGGCAGGAACTAAGGATGAAGGTAAATTATTCCCTGACAGTAAATTACCCCAACTGCTAAACTGTATCAAGTTCAGATTACTGTACCCAGATTTAAAAAAATTAACTGAGCCACTTGAATTTGAATTTTGAGAATTAAAAAAAAATTTGTAAATTCAAGCTTCTATATAATATACTGTTTGGAGCACATTATAACATGGACAACTCTGCAAAGTCAAAGCATTCTCGAAAAACGGCATATAGGCTAAATTGGAAGAAAAAGTACAGGAGAAAAGAAATCAAATGCAAGCTTCAGAGCGCTAATTGCATCCAGTGAAAAGAATCATTTTATTACCTTTATTGAATTGAAGGTTGTGAATACCTACAGTAAGTTACCTTGTCAGCATTCACAATATGTGCCAATGTTTCAGGATAGCCCATCTGTGCCTGTATAAAAGTGGCAATACCCTTTTCTGTGTAAATGACAAGACATCTTCTGGCAGAGATGTTGGAAGTCTGCCACTAAGCACAAGGCAATTACTTTATTCCATCAGTATCCTAGATTCAGAGGGTTGCAAGAGACATATTTTTTTAAAGGGCCTTGCCCAAGAAAGCAGAGGATGTTTTCTAAACCTGCTGTATATATATTATTTATGATTTATGTGGTGATGATTTGTGAAACTGTGGCAATATATATAATATATGTTAATTTTAAATTTTAAAATGTTTCTTTATCAGGGGGAATACTGCTTTCTTGGTGATGAGCTCATCGAAGGTGGTCAGAAAGGTGTCATGACAAATGGGATTGGCTACAAGGAAGTGCGCCAGTACTGCACTGGGGTGTACCTGGTTCGGTTCTACTTTGTGACACGCTGTTACAACAACTATGTGGAAAGTATCCTGAATGACCTCAAGGAAGGACCGCAGCCCGATGTACTCATCATGAACTCCTGTCTCTGGGATATAACCAGGTAACTCTTTTATTGTAATTTAAGTTATTTACAGGCTTTAATTTTCCTTTAATCCCCATCAGGAATATAACTTTTCAGATGTCTTTTTTGTTCAGGGAAACTCTTTTAGAGGACCTGAAAAAACTGGTGATGAATTTTTGATACAGTAGTCTCCGACTAAGATCCCACCGCTTACGGTGCAGGTTCCCTAAAACATCCCGCTGTTTTAAGAACGCTCTGAAGGTCTACATTTGGTTTAGATCCCGTATTTCGGATCATAATTTACGAAACAAAAACAAGGGCAGGCGCTGCAGATTGACCAAGTGTGAGAAATTATGATCATTTAACTGTCCATCTCATCACAGATCAACCACTCTAGTGAATGTGATCACTTGTGCCTTGTAATTGTAAGTCTGGATGAAATGGTAATGTTTATCCAGACAGGATCATGGCAAGGTGTAAACTTGCTCTCTCATTTGTTTTCCCCAAACTTCACACTGGCATGATCCCAGCTCTCCACCTAAACTTACCTCACATGTTGGGTGGGTATGGCCTACAAGTTCCCTCCAGGCAGGATCACATGGAACTGTAAACTCTTCCCTGACCATTGCAGCAGCTGTCTGTACTCATGAAGTTGTCAGACAGACTGAATTTTAATTGGTGTGGTCACAGAGTGATGGTGCCTAACCACAGAGGCAGGGGGTACTCTGTCAGTGATGGAAAGTGATAAATTTTGGACAGGTAAAGGGGAGGGGCAACTGGATTAAAGCATAGATCTTGAGACTCACAATAGGAGAATAAGTGAGAATGACATGCCCCTTGTCACTGATTGGTCCTCAAGGTTGACCACTGTTTGCTTGTCATAAGTCATGCACCCACCCTGGGGTCATGCCAGTTCATTATAGAGTGAAGGGAGACCATTTTACGGGTTCTGTATGTCTGTCTGTTGCCCCCCCCCCCTTCTCTCCCTCCTCCCCCCCTCTCTCTCTCTCTCTCGTCTCTCTCTCTCTCTCTCCTCTCTCTCTCCTCTCTCTCTCTCTCTCTCTCTCACTCTCACTTTCACTCTCACTCTCACTCTCACTCTCACTCTCTCTCTCTCACTCTCTCTCTCCCTCCCTCCCCACGCCCCCTCTTCACCTTACCAAATTACAATGTTACATTTTTTAAACAAGATTTCTGCATGCTTTTTTAATGGAGTTTTTGAAATATCCTCCCACTTTTTGTCTGTGCTTACATTTTGAGAACACATCTGTAGATTCCAAATAAGACTTTGGTAGAGACTTGAGTCAACCTGGTTTTTCAGGAGAGGGTAGATGCTTGTGTTTTTTTAATGTATTTCTATACTGATATTTGTATTCGCCAATCCTCTATGGTTGTTATGGTGATACCTTTTAAAAAAAAGACCAACAAATGTTACCTTCAAGTTTAATGTAGTAGGATGTCCTTTGGGCTCCTGACTCTTTCTGCTGCCTTTCTACTGCTACCCCTTGGTTCTTTCTCACTGCTGTCTTTCAGCCACACCCCTTATCTTAAGGTAAGTAAGATTTAACAATAGCCTTCTTGGGTAAGGGCGGAAATATCTCCGAAGGACCTGTGTGCAAGTTGTGCTCGTTAAAAATCCCTTACTGATACTGGTCCTAAAATTGATTTATTATTAGAGTAGGCTTCGGCTGGGTGGGATATTGAATGAACGTTCTTAGGGTATCCTTCACACCCTGGATCCAGGTCTTTCTTGGTCTTCCTCGTGCTTTGTACCCTGATACTTTCCTGTAGTAGGCTTTACTGGCAAGCTGGTTAGGTGCCATATATATGTGCGAGATATCCAAACCACCTGATTGTTTGCCTTCCGATGTAGTGGAGGACAGGTGTTGTTCCCACCATTTCTCTGATCTAGTTGTTTCTGACCATGTCCCGTCTGGTTTTGTTTGTTGGCGGCTCTCCTTAGACATCTCAACTCGCAGGTGGCTATCTTACGTTCCAGACTTTTGGTCAGGGTCCATGTTTGGCACTGGTAGGTCAACGTGGGGATGAAGATCGAGTTAATTAATGAGCTTGGCTTTGGTCTCAATGGGGATGTTAGGATGTTTGAGGAGTGGGCAAGCTGGTAGCTGACGCTTTTAGCCTTTTGTACTCTCGTCTCAATTTCTCTGTTGAGACATCCTTCCGAAAAGATGCTACCATGATCATGATAGTAAAATACTTACCAAGAAGAAAAAGAAAGTAGGATGTATTATCTCTATGGGTTTATTGGTCAAGGGGAGGTAACCATTATAAATTTAAATTGAGGACGTCACAATTCCAAATTATAAATGGGTGATTAGCGGGTGCTTTGGTATGGTTCGTTTCTTCTTTCCTATCAAGTGTCTGTCTCATGGTTATTTCTCCTTTTTTGTGTTTCTTACCTTTTTGCATTATATTATGACTTCATGTTTTGCAAGTGCCGCAATTCTTAATTAAGTGGGTGGTTGGCGGGTGCTATGGTGTGTTTGCTTCTTCTTTCCTATAAAAAAAATCTGTTGTCCTTATGTCCTCCTTCTTTTTCATGTTTGTCACTCTCTTGTAAGACCTCTAATCTTCGGCACTTACTTAAATAACCTTATTGTGTTGCAAGTGCTGTAAAACACTTATTAAAACTTACTTAAACTAACCCCCCCCCCCTTCCCACTCTCTCTCTCTCTCTCTCTCACACACACACACACACACACACACACACACACACACACACACACACACACACACACACACACACAAATTATGAGTATGCGACAACATTCTGATAAAACGCCCATTTCCTGTCGGGTTTTGAATCTGTGTACATGTATTTTTAATTTGAATTTCATGTTATTTAAAATAATAGTTTGTGAAAGCAGTAGCTGCGCACTGTTGTACTGTATAGAGATGATAGCACTGTTGTACTGTATAGAGATGATAAACGTGCCAGTGACAGAACTCTAAATCAAGAAAAGACTGATGTTTTCGACAGCAGAATGAGCGTAGTCAGCGTCCCCTTTTTTTCTATCCTTTTTTCCATTGTTTTTTTTTTCTTTTTTTTTTCGCACAGGAGAGATGCTTCGTCGAAAAACGAGGGTCGTTTTTTGGTCGAAGGGAGGTAACTATTAAATAATTGAATCGGGGGGGGGGGGGGGGGGGGGGAGAGAGTTCGGGGCAATCTCAAGTGAGCATTGCCGACCAGCTTACATTCGAAAACACCAGGTTGTTGCCATGCGGCATTTTAATAGAATAATACTTGTATATAGTAATAATAATAATGAACATTTAACTTCTATGACGCCCACTTTCGGATGGCTCTAGGCGTTTCGTAATGAAATAAGATTTAAACTGGCCATTCAACAAACATCATTTCAAATATAGGTGAACTTACGGGATCGTAAGAGAGCCACAAAAAAACAAACAACAACTCAGGAGAGTCTCCCTCCTGCACAGGGGAATAAAAAAGGGGGGTGGGTGGTGGTGGTCATCCTAGCCCTGTTAAAAAAAAAATAGAGTCGCTGTTCCCAGGTGCTCCGGCCTCGTCGATAATGGCATGCGCCAGTCGTACTTATCCATTGCCACCCAGTGGCGGTGGGTGGACCAAGATTTGGGTGGGGCTTAGGTTTCTTCCACTTCTTTACCACCAAATAGCAAGCAATAAGAACAAAACAGTGATGATTCTTCTATACTCACGGCGAGTCACGGCATTTTGAGAACCATTCAAACGAGAAGAGTCACCTTTGTCTTCCATCTCTTTGTTCTCAGTTAAATTTAAGCTCTTCTGGGTGGTGGGGACGAAGCCGTTTCACCTCCAAATTTCTCTAATCAGTTTTTGTCTGAAGAAAAAGATGCCTCGAAAGTGGTTTGAGGTAATTAATAACTGTTAAGTCTCAGCGGCACAAACGCACAGTACTCCCAAACACCTACCGTCTATGAGGTGGATTGGGTCGTGTTGTTGCGGAAAATAGAACGCGCCTAACAAAGGTCCAATGGGCGCATAGGTATCTGTGTCACTGGGGGAAAGTGTGTTGTAAACTTTCACCCCATTGTCAGGGCTGGGAGAGCGTGAGCCCTCTGTGCAGTGTTATTTTTTAAAAAGTCTTCTACCTTTTTACAAAAAGAGTTTAATTAAAGACGGGCGTGGGAACCGGCTTATTCTTTCTGAGCCCTAACGACATTTGATTGGCTGTTAGGTTACTGTAGTTGTAAGCGGTGACAACAATGATTGGATAAACGGGCAAGCCGCCAAGCTGATAACTGTGTGTTCATTGCATGCGATCATAACGGTTTCAACTGCTTATTTCGTTATTTAAGAAACTTTCATTAACTAAGGGATAGAGTTGGGGTGGGGACGGGGTGGGGGTGAGGGGCTCAAGCCCGTAAGCCCTTCACGACCTACCGCCACTGTTGCAACCAGTGCTTGCATCTCGTAAGACGATTTTTTGACCTGATAGGAATATAAACGATTGATCATCTCCTTTGCTTCCACCTTTAACCCAAAGATTATAGAAATAAGAAATATTTACGGTTTCTGCAAGGAGTTTACAGTAGTTCTAAGCTCTTTGGGTTTCTGCCTTAACCCTTGCTTCCCCCACACATCGGTGTAACAAGTAGTCAACCAATGCCACCTCTCCCGTGGACAGTAACAGCGGTTCGAGGCACACGTACATGTAATGTACTTTTTAATTTCTCGGCTGGCCGTCGATCAGGGCAGCAGGCAGTTAATCAAATTAACCTCACACCTCTGGCCTCTGGCTAACTTAGAAAGTTGCCTGCTGGAGCGCCACGGGAGCACTTTCGCAGGCCCTGGTGAGATATCTCATTCACACCTCCCTGACTATCTGCACGGCTCAGGGCTCTTATTGCTGGGGTATCATCTACCCCCCAAGTCACCTTCCCCACCCACTCCTCTTTCCTTGCCTGGAGGCATGACGCAAAGGTTTAGAGCCAAAAGAAACACACTTGATGGTTTTCTTTCAAACCAGGGCCGGACAGGCAAAGCATTTTTCGTCTTAGACAATTAAAGACCCTCCAAAGGGAAGGAATTTCTCTTTTAATTTTTGGCGTTAAGCAGGTTTCTGTTTAATAAAAATAGAGGAAATTCATCAAGGGGGCAGCAGGGAGATGTCGTTTTGAAAGGTTTCCTTCATAGAGAATTTTCCTATTAGTGTATGGCAAGTTGGACTATGCGGACATTTCAACGAGTGTTTAATAATTCGCTTGTTCAGTGCCGCATTCACAACCTTATAAGACCAAGAATAGACTATACGAATAAATCGTGATGCTTTGGTCTCAAGGATTTCCATCGACCTCAAGGAAAATAATTTTTTTGGCCTGTTCATATTTTAATTATAATGGCTGTTGGTATACATTTGGCTCACCCTAGAATGCCACCTCCAAGATATTTCATTTCACATTCTTGTCTTTAAAATAAATCATGTACGATGTAGTCTACTTGACGTGATTTGAGATTGTGACGTCCGTGGAATAAAGGGAAATAATTAATTGACATGGGAAAGGGATACAAGTCTGTAGGATTTTACTGTATAAAGTGTTTGGGTAAGTTTCTGACAGCACCTTCTTCAGGATATAAGACTTGTGTTCATACGTGCTTTTACAACTTACTGTATGAAACACACAAAAAAATCAGTTTTCCACCCGAATGTTTCAACTACGGTGCCTTGGGGAATACGCATCTATACATGGAATTGAAACCAGTGGACCCATTAAATCAACGGGTTTTAGGTTGTTTGTGAATCATGATAAGATCCTGTGTGAGCACTCTGAGTTCTCTTCGCAACAAATAAATCTTTCGCCTTTTACTAAAGATTTCTTTGGAGAGGAGCAATAATGAGTCTTATAGACTATTTTTCAAACCCTTCACCTGTAGGGTATATATACAATGCATTTGTAAGTTCTAGACTATTGAGTGTTGTAAGTTTTTAGTAAGAATTTAGTAGCTTTTGCAACTTGCAACACAAATAGGTAAGATAGGTGCCGAAAATTAGCGGTGCTAACTGAGAGTAATATTCTTGTAACAAAATAAAGAGGGAACAGAAGAGCAAACTAAATTAAAGCACCCGCCACCCACGCACATTTTACAGTGTCTTTGTAGAATGGAAAGCATTATGATGACATACTTAGTTTTGGTAATATTTTACGGACCTGGCACCTATATATAAGATCATATGAGCGCCAAGGGGTGGATGTTAATAGAGAAGTCCAGACGGGGAATCTGGCTTATTCTGTTCACCTCTTTAGCCTCAACGGCACAAAGTCTAAGGCACCCCGGAAATACCATTTCTCAAGAGAGTGACAGACATGCACAAGAAGTAGAGGAAAACTGACGATAGTAAAGATGAGGAAAGAAAAAGCTGCAGTTCCCCCTATGTTGTTCCGGCACAGTATGAGCCATGAGCATGACATTGATAAATCAGCCTATTTACAATTCTACCGTGCAAAAGAACATGTTAATATCCACCCTTTGGGAATGGCCTAAAGACATTTCAGATGACATATCGTTATATGAGCATCAGACCGAAGGGCTAGAACCCAAATGGCCGCTGGATCGGAAAAGTAAAAGTAAAGTAAAGTTATATGAGCAAAATATATCACGAAACGTTTACCACTATGTTTAGTGGTTAGTGCTATCCCCGTGTCATTCAATGTATGGCCATAGACTCGGTGTGCCAGCGTGTCTCACTGTACGAAACTGAGGACACAATAAACGTCATGGCCTCCGCAGAATAAAGGAATGGAAGTGTCAGGTAGACCCCAATTGGGGACAACGTAGTCATGGTGTCTAAGTGGACCCCAAAAATGTTGGATTGTGATTGGCTCGCTGAGCGAGCGGTAGTTAACATTGGTTACAATGCAAGGCAACTGCTCATCTCGGGCGGTATGTCTATCTAGATTTAGTGTTACTATAATTAATTTATTTTTGCCCAGAGAGAGAGAGAGAGAGAGAGAGAGAGAGAGAGAGAGAGAGAGAGAGAGAGAGAGAGAGAGAGAGAGAGAGATGAATAAACGTATCTAGATCTAGATTTAGATCTAGAATCTACATCTAATCTAGATCTTTTCTAGATCTAGATTTAATCTTGATCTAGATTTAAATTTAGATAATCTACTTTCCAAACTGCACACTCTTGGCTGGGTGCACAACAAAATCTAGATCTAGATACGTTTATTCATTAGGCCTAGATACTCTCTCTCTCTCTCTCTCTCTCTCTCTCTCTCTCTCTCTCTCTCTCTCTCTTTCTCTCTCTCTGGGCTAAAATAAATTAAGTATAGATCTAGTAACACTAGATCGATGTACCGCCCGAGATTATCAGTAGCCTTGCATTGTAACCAATGTAAACTACTGCTAGCTCAGCGAGCCAATCACAACCCAACATTTTTGGGGTCCACCTAGACACCATGACTACGATTGGGGATTTCCGTGGAGAGGAGCAGTATAAAATATAATGAGTATAGACTATTTTTAAAGCTATATTTATAATTAAAAACAACAAAACAAAAAAACACAAAAAAAACGTTTAGTGTTTCAGCACGTTTCAATTTCCCATACTGGGGACAAATTGACGACATATCCTCCACTGAATTAAGGGATATAACTGATTTTGTGCTCTGTGTAAAGGGATATAACTGATTTTGTTCCTTGGGTAAAGGGATAATAATAATAATGATAATTGATTTTGTGCCCTGAGCATAGGCATATATTGGCGATTTTGTTTCTTGGGTAAAGGGACATAACTGTTTTGCCTTGGGTAAAGGGATCATAATAGGCCTACTTAATTTTTATAACTGATTGTTCTGCTCTGTGCATAGGATATAACTGAACTGATTATTGTGCTTTGAGTAAAGGGATATAACTGAACTGATGAGTGATTATTGTGCTTTGAGTAAAGGGATATAACTGAACTGATTAGTGATTATTGAGCTTTGAGTAAAGGGATATAACTGAACTGATTATTGTGCTTTGAGTAAAGGGATATAACTGATTTTGCGCCTTGGATAAAGGGATGTAAATCTCCATGATTTTGGTGTTAAGTGTTTGTGGACCTTTCAGGAAGTTAGGAACTCATGTTGTAGGACACATGTCCGTACGTTGTTGCAAATCTGTACTAAGCATTTATGTTATTTCTTCATTCAAATATTTAACTTAATTTGCTTTTAATAGAGATAGAAGTTTAAATAAGAAATTAAAACGAGTGGACCCATTGGATAAACCGGTTTTAGTTTAATCATAAATCATAATCAGACATAACAACGTCACTCTGGTTTCTCTTCACAACGAATAAATCTTTCGCCTTTTACTAAAGATTTCCGTGGAGAGGAGCAATATAATGAGTCTAAAGACTATTTTTCAAGCCCTACACTGTAGGGTAAATATTAGAGGTGTGCGAGTCCAGCATATTAAGATTCGAGTGCAGACTCGAGTATCTGCTCTGGACTCGAGTAATTACTCGAGTAATTACTCGAGTCTCACGGCTCTTAAGACTCGAGTTATTACTCGAGTAATAGTATCCCGAAAGGGAATTTTAGTGGGTTTCAAAAAAGGTTTTGTTGAATATCGGACAGAAAATAGAGTGCCTTCCTAGGAGGGAGCTTGAGTTGGCTTATGGCAATTCTAGACATATGCTGTTTATACCGTATTTATTTTATTTTATCTTAGGAAGTGGCTATTCTCACCCCAGGTGAGAATAAAAATGTGATCGACCTCTCACCCCGGGTGAGACTAGCCAGTGTTGGCTATTCTCACCCGCTGTGAAACAAAACCGGGTGTTCCTAATTTCTGAATACTTCCTATCGGTGAGGATGATTAAATAGACAAACCCCTTTTTAAAAAAATGATATTATAACACAAAAGTAAAACTAATTTGGTGGTCTACAATGATGCTACGGCTGTTTCACTTTTAGAATAGAGCTGAACTACCGTAATCGGCATTTTGTTTTGCCCAGAAGTTCTCGCTATATCTAGGCTACTCCTCTCTCTCTCTCTCTCTCTCTCTCTCTCTCTCTCTCTCTCTCTCTCTCTCTTTCAATGCCCGCAGATAAAATTGCATGTTTTTAACACAAGAGGACTGGAACGTTTGTTTACACGACAGAATTCAATAAATAAAAAGTGTAGATCTAGAATTCTGTGGTTTACACTGGGTATCACATCACGGTAAACGCACACATGGAGAGAATAGCCAAAAGGCTCGCTCTCTCACCCCGGGTGAGTGAGAAGCTTACAACTGTATAACAACTAAGCTAGAATAGAGGTAGTCTTCATCTTATCTTATCTTATTTTTTATTTTTTTAAAATAATTCTTTGTTACAACAGTAAGAATAAAATGTACACAAACCTCAGACAATGCACTTCATAAAAGAAAGAAGTTTGATTGGTCATCATGGGTTTCTAACAGTGGTTTCCTTTTTGCTTTTTTCTGGGGGGGGGGGGGGGGTCGGTTTTTTTCCTTTGGGGAAGGGGTATTTTTGGTTTTTTTTGTTCCTTTTCCTTCAGTTTTAAAAAATTGCTTATCAGAATTTTTCTTTTATCAATTCTTAAGTTTTTTAAAAACCAAATTTTTCTCCTTTTTTTCTGTTTTTCCCCTACAGACTCGAGTCTGGACTCGAGTCCTTACTCGAGTCCTTACTCGAGTAATTTACTTGTGACTCGAGTCTGGACTCGCCGCATGTATTACTCGAGTACTCGAGCCTGGACTCGTTACTCGCACACCTCTAGTATATATACTGATGACATGAGTGTTTATTTAGGTTGTAGCCTCCTCTGTACTGGCTTACATTGTCTCTATTGTATGCCAAGCTGCAGTGAGTATGTTCCTTGCAACTGTATCCATCCCCCCCCCCCCCCCCCCATAAATTTGATGAAATGAAAGAAAAGGTAATGACACTTCTCTACACGATGTATGGCTGAATATTGTGATATGTTGCTAAACAATCTTCTAAAACATTAAATTGCATGTTTCACATCGGTCATTTAAAAAAATTTTTTTTGTAAGTGTTTTAAGGCGTTCGCAACTGCATAAGGTCATATGAGCGCGCGAGATACATTAAATATTTACAGTTTGGTAGGAAATTTGAATTTTTCCCTGGGTGGCGGCCGAAGCCTACTCCTACCGATTATATCACCACCAAGGGATCTTTAAGGTGCGCAACTTGCACACGGGATCTCCGAGATTTATTGGCCCTTATTCGAGAAGGCTTGGAGCAGACAGAGTCAGGAGCCCAGAGGAGAGGGTAAAATGGAGGGGGAAGGGAGGGGTCAGAAAGTGGAGACAAAAGCGGACGGGGGGAGGGGGGGGGGAGGAGCACATTATAGAGAAGAACCACGAGAGCTCCCATTACACCAGTCAGTGACAAATACACAGGTAGACACATACTATTTTTGGCTCCTTTCACTTTCCGTTTTAAGTCTAGCTTGTAAGTAAATAATGCTCTCTTAAATTTGAACCCTATCAATACGTCGTGTTTTACTATGGTATCCATACGACGTGGGGAACTCTGTACCCCCACTTTCCAAAGAGGAAATTTTACTCGTTAATCCGATCCGTACGCTTTGCTTAGCAGTCTGTCAAAATAATTTATTGAGAAATACTGAAAGTTTCAAAGAGATCTTCGCACTAGAAATATTCTAAAATATGAAGAATACAACCCTGGGGTACAAAATGACTCCAGAGCGTACGGATAGGGTTAATTAGTAAAACGAAAATGTGTTTTAGAGTAGTGAGTCATGGCGATCACAAATACGCTTCGTGATCGGGAAAAATGTCAAACTTTTTATCACCAGTGTACATACAGATAGTTTAGACACACGATTACCACTAGGGATACGACTGTCCTTATATAATACATATATATAATATAAATATGTCATTTATGGCCTGA